AAAAAAAAGAAGAAATTACAGACTAGGGGTATAGCTCAGCAGCACAGCACCTGCCTGGCAAGCATGAGGTCCTGAGTTTGACTCCCAGTACCAAGAAAAAAAAAGGAAATTACACAGCAAGATGGTAGACATAAACTAAGAGAAATGCCAAAAGTGTGAATCGAGGGATCGTTAAACTGTAGTTGAAAGGACATTTTTTATTTGTATAAAATACTATGTTATTTTTAAAGCACATATAAGAAAATAAAGCTTCAAAAGGATTGAAATTCATGGACAGTACAAAACTATGCTGTTGAAATGTTAACCAAAGAAACCTCCCATGAAAAGATTTCAAGGATAAAAACAAAGAAAAAATACATTTGCCAACAAAAATATAGAAACCCATTTTAATACGCAATTTCATTTCATTAGCAGGATCTGATTATGGATAACCTCTATGTATGTAACTAATAACATGACCTCCATAAATACAAAGCAAAGGTTGATAGAACTACAGACAGAAAAGATAGATATGCAGAATTGGATTTTACCGTTCCTCTGTCAAGTATTTTTTAAAAAAAGAACTTTTTGTGTGTGTGTTTCTGAGACAGGGTTTCCCTATGCAGTTCAGGCTGGCCTTGAACTCACTTTGTAGCCCAGGCTGGATTTGAACTTGCAGCAATACTCCTGCCTCAGCCTTCTGAGTGCTGGGATTACAGGTGTGCACCACCACACCCAGCTAAAAAAGAACCTTTGAATGAGTACTGTTTTAAAATCTGATACAATGTGTAATCCCATCACTCTGGGAGGCTCAGGTAGAAGGGTTACAAGTTCAAGTCTATCCTGTTCAATTTAGCAATTTAATGAAAACCTGACTTTAACAAAAAAAGGAAATATAGCTCAAAATGGAATATAGCTCAGTGCAACAGACCTGTGTTCAATCCCTAATACCACTTAAAAAAATCTGATAATGACTAACTGAAGTTTTTGAATGGTTCTTTTATTAAGTATAAGAAATTTTTCATCCTAAACTATAAAGCAAGCCTAAAGAAATTTCACATTATTCAAATTATACCCAATAGCTTAAGTATTATTAAAAGTCCGTATATTTGGAACTGGACTTTCTTTTTTTTTTCCAGTACTGGGGATTGAATTCATGACGTTGCACTTGCCAGGCAGGCACTGTGTCGCTGAGCTAAATCCCCAGCCCTCGGAACTAAATTTTTAAATCACACCTCTGAATAACCATTGATTAAGGAAATATCACAATGCAAATTGTTTTCTATTAAAATTTCCCCTTTGGTAATTTTGGAATGCAGTAATCCCATATAATAAAAAATGTTTCTAGGAAGCTGAAATCACTGATGAAATCTATTTTAAGATGATAATTTAAAAATACATAAAGTAATAGATTATTATAAAGAATTAAGTGGGATGCAAAAATTCATATAAAGTTTTAGATTAACTATTGACAGATACTTGGGTAATATTTTAACTACTAAGGACTAACAGAATTTTACAAATTCTTCAAAAATGTGATTCCCTTAAGGGCATCTCAGTATGGAAAATAAAAAAAGAAAGAAAGTAAAGAACAGGCTTCCTTGGGTGTCCTGTCTGCGTTATCTTGTAGGCCTGTACTTCAGTTAGCTGAATCAGTTGCTTATTGAAATATGTAAGTGTTTTTATCCTTTGAAATAAAAATGAGATGATGATCTTTGAATATATTATTTAGTATCTATATGCAAGTAGATATTAAAGCTATATCCCTGAAGTGGATTTGCTGAGTTAGTACATTTGTACATTCTTTAAAAGGTCACATTTCTTTTCTTTAGATTTACTAATTTTCATTCCTTTCAGCAAAGTACTAGAGTTTCCATTTCCAGTAATTTGCCAAAATCATTTTTTAACTCTGATTTTTGTTAGTATGTTTAGTGGAAAATATTATGCTTTTAATTTGCATTGTTATACTATATGTAATTTGCATTTTAATGCTCCATGCTACATTTTTACTTTTAAATGTTATTTTCTGTGAAATATCTTTTAATGTCATTTATTTTTTTTAATATCAAATATTTTCTGTGAAATATCTTTTAATGTCATTTTCTTTTGGGTGATTAGTGTTTTTCTAATTGCTTTGTAAGAATTTTAAAGATGAGGGATATATCCTTTCTTCCTCACACCTTGGTTTTGTTATCTGTGTATGTGTGTTTAGGGGGTTTTCCTTAGAAATGTAGTGTTGTAAATGTATCAGTTTCTGCTTGGATAACATCAGTTTTGTTGTTTAGTTTATAAATCATCTTTTCCACTCTGACATACCTTTTTTAAACCTCATGTTTTTCTCCTTTATGGTTATGTTGTAAAATTTAAGTACTTGATTAATCAGAATTTTGAATGTTGAACAGAGTTAGGCAGGAATATGCTGTTATTTTTCACAGGTGATTAAACATTTGTCTTAGTGCCATATACTTAATTATTTAACTTTATCTTAGTGGTTTTAAATGCAAACTTTATCCTAGGCCAAGTTCCAATAGTGTTTGTATCTGTATCTTGACTATTATTTTATCCTACCTAATTGTCTATTTCTTTTTGCATTATAATCAAATTTATTTTGACATCATACCTTTATAAAATGTTTTGATAACTGGCATATCTAGGCCTCATCACTCAATTTAGCAGAAGGTCTCAAGACTATTTTGGCTTATCCACAGTTCTATGTCTTTTTTATTTTTAGAAGAAAAAAGCCCTTCTGAAGTTTTTTTTTTTTTTTTTTAGTATTCTTTACTTTCATAATAAAACTAGAAATGAGTAAACATTTTATAATTAAATTTTTATATCTGGGTACAGTGGTAGCATCCCTATGTACTTTTGTGTCATATTCCTATGCTTGCCTGTTTTCTTCTTTCTCTTCCTTTCTTCCTTTCTTCCTTTCTTCCCTCCTTTCTTTCTTCCTTTCTCCCTTTCTCTTTTTCTGTCTTTGTCTCTGTCTATCTCTGTCTCTGCCTCTCTCTCTCTCTCTCTCTCTCTCTCTCTCTCTCTCTCTCTCTGTATGGTAGCTCAAACTGGCCTTGAACTCAGTATGTAGCCCAATCTGGCCTGAACTCACAGCACTCTTCCTCCTCAGTCTTCTGAGTGCTGGGATTACACGCATATGGCACCATGCCTGGTTGGTTGTTGTATCTTTTTTATGCAGAATTTATACATTTGTTAGGTAATTTCTGGGCATTTTATGTTTGTTCTTGCTTTTATTAAAGGGCATTTTTTTCCATTATAGTTTATAACTAGTTTTGATTGTGTGTTCAAAGGTGACTTAGTTTTTGTATATATTTTCTACATAGTTTACAAAATTAGTGCCTAATTTTTGTTACTTTCTTCAAGGAATCCTTTTGGATTATCAGATACACAGTTGTATTGTTTGTAAAAATAATGTTTCAATGTTTTACTGCTTCTTCTTTTATATTCTTTTTTGGTGGTACTTGAGATTGAACCCAAGGGTGCTCCATGCTCTATGGAGTTACATCACCTATCCCTTTTTATTTTCAGATAGGATCTTGCTAAATTGATCAGGCAGCAGTTGAATTTATAGCTGCCTTATCCTCCCTCAGTGCTGGGATTTGCAGATGTATGCCACTATGCCCAGTTCTTTTTATTTTGTATATAATTAGAGTAGCCAGGAATATATATATTTTAATACTAGGCGCGGAAACCAGGGCCTTTGCTCTGGGGCATATCCCAAACTCCTCAACCCTTTTTTGGGGGTTGGGGTACTGGGGATTAAACTCAGGACCTTGCACTTGCCAGGCAGGCACTGTACCGCTAAGCTATATCCTTGGCCCATCAACCCTTACTTCTTATTCAGAAACAGAGTCTCACTGAGTTTCTCCAGCCAGCCTTGAATTTACAGTCCTCTTGCCTCAACCTTCCAGAGTGCTAGGATTGTAGGCATGCACTACCATGCCTGGCAGGAGCAATAAACTTTAAAGAAGAGAATCTTTGTGTGTGTGTGTGGGGGGGGTCTTTTTGAGACAGGGTCTTGCTATGCAGTTCAGGCTGCCTTGATCTCACTTTGTAGCCCAGGTTGGTCTCAAATTCACAGTGATTCTCCCGTTTCACCCTCCCAGGTGCTGGGATTATAGGTGTGCACTACCACACCAAGCTAAAGAAGAGAATCTTAATTTGATTTGGACACTGCCAGTCGGTAGCTATGAGACCTTAGAGAACTTATTTGTGGACTAAGCAGAATTTGACCACCCAACCATGCCTCAGCTTATAACAGTTGTAGACAAAACTTTAAATAATCAGTATTGCTCTCCCAATAGAACAGGATCATGAGAACTATTTATGTACTTTGAAAATCCATACAATATTTACTTTTGTGTAGTAGCATTTTCAGAATTGGTCTTCAGTCTAAGGATACTAAAAATTTAACTGTTCACTATAATTCCTGTAAACTCAAAACTACGTTATGCTTCCTATAGATGTCTTCCCATTGTCTGCTTTTACAGGATCCTGACAGCAGCAGTCAGCACCACTGAAGAAGAGAAAGTTCACAAGTTAGTGTGTTAGGCACTTAATATTATTATGCTTGATAACTGTTATGTTTCAAATTGTTATTCTAAAATGACATTACATTTTAAACAAAGAACTTTTTACTCCAAAATGAGTAACCCTTGGTCACACCTTGCATGTGCCAGTATATGTTCATCAAAATGCAGAGATAACTCAATAAGCATGACTGGCTGGTGAATGCGTATCATATGTCTCAATAGATTTACCTGAGGATTGTCTCCTAAATCAACATGTTTTATTAAACTCTTTGATAAAGCAGATTAATTAAATTATATCCATAAAAAAGAAAAACCTCAGACTGTCATGCAGTCTACCATTCAAAATAACTTCCTAATTAACATACCCCTCAAATTCATAGCATACTTTACCAGTATATATTCTCATTAGATATGTATAAATAATATATGTAAATTACTATTCACTCTGTCATGTAGACATTTTTGTAGTTCTCAAGGATGTAATGTAAAAAGTATAAGGCTGAACACAACTTATTCATTATGGAATTTGTTCATGCATGTACTATCTCACTTTATTTGCACCATTAATTCTTTTTGCACTCTGGTGAAGCCCATAAGATTTTTAAGGAATGTTTTAAAATGAGACATTAACACCCAAAGGACTACCAATTCAACAATACATATATATTATTTTGCATTTTAAAGATTTTATTGGTACATGTTAAGACATACATAATGATTACATTCATTGTAGGGAATTTGTACCTGTACATGCTATAGCTTCTTTTTTTCCCATTCTCATTTATATTTAAATATATTTGCTAAGATTTGTTTAATGTTTTGATGAGACCTAGCATTTTATATACTTTATCAACATATAGGGGAAAATGGCAGTGCTACTATCAAATGTCAAAAGAATGACAAGTATGTGATACAAAGTCTGGTACAACTATAATATGACATGAAAATTCCCAATTCCTCTTGGCAACAAGTCAGTATTTCTAAGAACTCTGGTTTGTTGCCCAAATTCAAATTTAAAAACATGTCAAATTTCACAGCTTCAAGAAAATATAATTTCTTTTTTTTTATTTTTGGTATCGGGAATTGAACTCAAGACCTTGCACTTGTCAGGCAGGCACTTGTGCTGCTGAGCTATGTCCCCAGCCCAGAAAATCTAATTTCATCCACACTGCTTGAATCTCCCAAGGGTAAAATATTCCTTGTCATCTGCTTCACTAATCATAGAACATATTCATGAAAGAGAAAAAAAAAAAAAAAAGAACATATTCATGGAAGAGAAAGACCTGATAACACAGACCCTAAGTGTAGCCCAATATGGAAGACACAGATTTTTCATCCTAGACTTATGCTAGATGAGAAACTGTATCCTGAAAAGCTAAGCATAGTGGTACACATGTGTAATCCCAGCACTTCAAGAGGCAGAGGCAGGAGGATTGCAAATTTGAGACCAGTTGGGGAAAGTAAGTGACTTAGCAAGACCCTGTCTCCAAATTAAAATAATGAAAGAACTGGTGATGTAGCTCATTGTGAATGCCCTGCGTTCAATTCCCAGTACAAGACAGACAGAGAGAGAGAGATTGAGATTGAGAAAATACCTGGTGTCTGCATCCAGCCATGGTAGATTCAGAATGAGTAAGGGTAAGAAGCCACTGATTCACATTAAATTCCTAGGTTCTTTATAAAGGAGTAGTATTGTGGAGATTGAAGATCAGGTATGTGCATAGAGAATGGCTGTTGCAACTGATGTCAGATATCTGTATTTCCTTCTTGTGTAGGATGAGAAGGTAACAGGAAGATAGCAGTGAAGGTTGGTTATGTTACTAAACTGAGGGGCTGGGGATTTAGCTCAGCGGTAAAGCACCTGCCTGGCAAGTGCAAGGTTGTGAGTTCAATTCCTGGTACCAGAAGAAAAGACAAAAAAAAAATGTTACTAAACTGAGTTCCTAAAATGAATTGTTTGCTTGTGTCTGAAAGACAAGTATATTTTGCAGTAAATAAAAGTAGGTACTTAAAATTCATATTATGAATTAGTAATAAATATTGCTGTTATCTATGCATCTTTCAGGTTATTTTTATATATATTATAAAGTTACTCTTTAAGTAATTTGATAATACAGTGATACTTCTTTGTTCCTAGTGTTTTCTGTAGATACACATTTTGTTTTCTAAATAAGAATTCTCTGTTGATCCTGAAGTTAGATTTTCTTTGCTGGGAGCTAAAATAATCCTGTAAAGTCTTTGGCATTACCACACTCTTGGGTTCAGTAATAGCTCTCAGACTCTCCATCCAAATTGTACCTGTACTAGCACTATCCTCCATTACCAGCCAATGTCCTTGGTGCCTCCATTCTCTATTTAAGAAGCACTCAGAATTATTTCCTAATGAAATCATGGCAAATTGCAGTAAGGACTTCAAGAGGTAATGCATTTTGTATTATGTTGCCTTGTAAATTACACTAATAAATGAGGGGGAATTTCTTATCCTCATTCCTGATTCTTCAGCGTGAGTATTACGAAGCTGACATGTCAGCACTATTGTGGCACCAAATGTATTGAAATGCATTTAGACCCCAGTCAGATGATATACAGCAATAGAAAGTGGGTGTGAAATAAAACCTTTTCTGTCTACTTCACTGCCATCCAGGACATCTCTCTCAGGATTTTTTTTTTTTTCTGCACATCATTATAGATAAAAGTACAGACCAGCCACTTAAATTTGAATTTCAGATACAAAGTTTATATAGGCACATCTCAAATGTAGTAACTAGCAAGACAGGACTTTGAAAGTTAAATTTCTTTCCTTTAATGATAAGTGGCTTCTCCATATTTCCTTAGGCCTACCCAGGGCATAAACTTTCACCCTCTAGCCCATGTGAATGGACAGAACGTTCAGATGTTGGGACTAGGTCAAAGTTCAGTTTCATTTCCACAGGGAAGGATGGTCAGTTGAGGGTCCAGGAGGGAAAAAACAAGCCTGGACATATCTGTTGTCTCATTGTAGCCTCATTCACACACACATGCACACACACACTGTTCCTTGCTATAATAGACTTGTGAATACCTGTACCCAGGGAGATAGTGAACTGGCTGATGAGACCCCTCAAACTTCTTCAAGTGGCTTTGAATAAAGCCTTTTCCCTTTTTACCAAAACAGTTTGCTTTCTTTGATTTGGTTGGTGGTGAGAATATGAACTTGAGTGTATGGATTAAGTGCTGATAACAGTTTTGGTGAAGCCAACTGGGAAGCAAGTCCCAGCTCCTGAGCAGCATGGGTCTCCTGGTTATTACTTGTGGGGTGACAGGTGCTTGGAAAAAAGGATTAACTGCTTGACATTAGCTGAACCTACTGTTGGATCTCCAGGGATATTCTAGCAGCTGCCAGGGACAGTTTTGCACCCTAGGAATTCTCCTTTCTTTTCCATTTGTGGCATCAGCTACCTATAAATGTTTTTGTTGGTGGAGGAAAAGCCTTTTTGTGTGTTGGGGGGTGGCTGGTGGGTTCCACCTGGTTTTCTGCCAGAAAAAGTACTCCTAGGATCTAGGATCAGGGTAGTGGAATAGCCATTATATAGTCTCTGAGTCATTCAGCAGTGCTCATTGGAAATGAACACATCTTCACCATTTGGGGCCATTTGGACCTACAGTTTTTGGGGGGAGGGTATGATGAATGTTAGTAGAGATTCAGAGGTAGAAAACATTGCAGGTACTTGTTGGCTTGGACTGTTCATTTGGCTTGCTTTGGTGTCTTTTATCTTTTTATAACCCCTTTTATTTCTAGAATGGGCACCTGGGTTTTGGTATCTATCCTCTAGACGCTCTCTGGGCTGCATATTGAATAACTGGACAGACTACATCCAAGATACTATGACAAAAAAGAGCTGGTATATACTATTCTAGCACTGCATGGTCTATGTATGAGTTAGACTCTGGTGAAAGGTAGCTACCTAATGGTTCTTCAAACTATCATACCATTTTGTAATTGGAATAGTTTTGTCAACAATCAGATAAATGGAATGATCATTCAGGTCTTCTTGGTATTGCATAATGAGGATTCTGGAAAGGAGGAGGGACCTAAATTAATAGGTCGAGAGAAGGGAAGGCTTTACTTCCTTCTTAAATGGCAAACTTGTGATGAAAAGAAAAATGAGGATATTAACTTTTTAAATGCTCTAAACCCACTCTAATGGTTATAGAGGCATCACACCCTTGGTCCTGTGGACAATGAGGGGACCACTGGAGTTGCAGGTCCTTTACCATGTGAATGTGAGGCAGAAACAGTCTCCCCCTTTAAGAGCCAGCAAGTGCACTCAATTTGGCAGTGCACACAGTTTGGCCAGGGAGCTTCCCATTTTGGGGCAGGACAGTATCCTCTAAGGCAATATCTTGTCAGATTTGTATCAGGATTAGCTAGCTAGGAGGCTATTTCTGCATTTATAGTCCATCCTTGAGCTCTGACTTGACTTGTTAAACTAGAACTCTAATGCATCACACAGAAATGATCCCTTGAGAATGACTGATTTGTCACTTACCACCTCACCTGGGCAGGTATTCAAGCTCTTCTGCATATTCTAAGTGCAAAAGACAAAAAGGCTAGTGATAGTGCCTCCACAAAGAAAATCCTACAGTGAACCCCAATCCTATACTATTCCATTAGTAGAACCTTATTGGGAGCCAAACAATTGGGAAATAACTCTTAGGTAATTACAAGCAGTGCATTCTCTCAGGACCCGGGAAAGTGGTACCTAACCTGAGAAGTTGAAACACAATATATAATCTTTAACAGAAGGCAGATGCAGATCCCTTTGAATTTTTACAAAAGATTTACCAGACATATAAGAAGGATACAGATGATCCAGAAGCTACAGAGAATATAAGAATAAATTACTTACAGAGAGTATACAGAGACTATAAGGATAAATTACCTTAGTAGAGCAAAATGCCCTTGGTATTAATAGAAATCTTCAAAAAGCAGACGGGATTAGAA